GCCCTCGAAGTATGCAGTCGACTACCTCTGTCCACAGCGGTCTCCAGATTTCTTCGAAACAGGCATCGCGGCTGCAGGAAACAGACACTCATCGGGCGTCCTGGTACAAAAGCCTGGCCTGCGAGGCCACTCGCCTACATCAATGATGTATTCAATCCGCACCGTTGTTGCTTCACATGACTAGACGTGTACATATATTTTCCGTTTCTAAATATGATGTTGTTTGTTATGCGCTGATTCCAACCACGGAAGTATAAAACACATTTGTACACCCCATATTAATTATTCACAACTGCAAATGACTATCTAAATTATGTCCTTGAGCATCTGCAGTCATAATAATTCACTGTTACTCCAAAGTCGGCTAGGAAGTTGGCAAGAGACCGAAAATGTCGTTTGCGGTTAAAGTGCACGGCCGTACGTTACTCAAAAAATCGACGCCCTCACAAGGAGTCGTCAGGGTTTCACTGAGCCTAGGGAACACCGACAGTTTATTTTGGACGTGTCAGGTTTAATGACCGGTATGTTAATTCCGAAATAAAACAGCATGTTCTTTCTGCCACCACATTGTGTTATACAGTTATGTCAATGTGTATTGCAAGATGGCATTCGGGAATTTGGCGATTCATATCTAAAGCAACACTGTTGCTCTATACAATTATCGAGAATCTGAGGAACATCTATTCCCGCGCAAATTTTCTTCTATATTCACTTATTATCACTTTGTCGATGACTGCATCCAGGGTGCAGTCGGAATTGTCGGTCTACGCAAGAATTGCTTCTGCCAACTCGATATATGAATGCATCATCTGATTACGAATTAATGTTTTTAATTTTTCAAAGACTTCTGATGAGCCCAATGACCAAACGAATACTACAATATTGCACATGACACGGTCTAGTGTTGGCTGCAATTTAGAAAATCCAGCATTTAGACGTCTATAGTAGATGAAAGGCCTTTAACTGTGCTGCACTTCCTCTGCATCCGCAGGAATCTTAACGTTCGGCATTACAGTCCAGATATTTTGTATTTGCGTTGGGTTTCAACCCATCGGTGGCCAAATATCAAATTCGCATTCGCGGATTAGACGGGCACAAAAAGATAAGCACTGCAGATACTTTTCGTCGACAGAAGTTTTGTGCGTATGACCGCTGTGAACTGCTGGCAGGAACATTAGTGCCTGATAGCCAAATGCACAGTTGCCTTTCTGTTCCTGTCTGGGCAGACAGCCCACTTACCACATCGGTGTACCCTAAGATAGGAATGATATTTCATGAGGGTTGGATCACATGTCATACCTACTTCCCGCTCGTTGCACACAGATATCTACATATACCAAATAGACAGTATGAACGGCTTTTATAGTATGCTTAGGGATTGTATCTTCAGTTTAAACGGCTACAATCTTTAAGATAATATCATGCCGATACCTCGGCAGTGATCATTCGCAATGTCTCCTGATGAACTCAATCCAACAGAGCGTCTCTG